ATTGTATTATTATTGGATTTTTTTTTTACGGGAGGGTTAATCGATAACTTTCCATCTGTCAAATTTTAACCAAAAGTTAAAATAATCCACCAAATGGTTCAGAGCGTTAACATTAATTCCTTGTCTGTCAGAAATAAGTCTGGTGGAATAACATATAGTCGCTATATTCATAGTCTGGCGGATAGAATTTCGATCTATCAAAAAACGGAACCAATTCAATACACTCAAAGATAAATTAAATCAAAAAAGCTTAAAAAGTATGCAGTTTCCCGCTTCACCTTATTGAGTCCGAGCCATGATTACTTCGGCAGTAGTCATGCATGATTAAAATCGAAATAATTTTTCCAGTATTATATTTTATTCTTTTTCAATACTGATATATAATCAAAAGAGATCAAAATTCAATCCAAAATTAATAAAATAGAATCAAAAAAGATTAAATTTTATTCAAAAAAAAGATAATCTACAATCTAATCAACCATGATTAAACTGGGATTACTATCAGATGCTTATTTTTTAGATAGAGAGGATTAATTTTTAATCATTCGATATGATTAAACTGAGCTTAATGTCAAATTGATTCAATTTCAAGCAAAATGGGAATAGTTCAATTTATCAGTGTATATTTTAGACCAACAATTGAAAAGGTACTATCAACTTTTATAAACAAAACATTGATTATTCTTTCCTCGCCAATCGAACGCAAATTACCGGCATCATCGGATAGGGGAAACTTTCCTCAACCCAAATATGGTGTTAGTTTGCTTAGGCGAGTTGTTCCGCTATTTGACAGCTCAATTGGTTCGCGAGATTCTATCCGCCAGACTATGAATATAGCGACTATAGCGACAGAGTTATTTCAAAATTTCCAATCGGTCGAAGTTAAGTGAAAATTCACCAAATGAAACAGCCTTAAATGTGTGAAAAAAAATCGTGGATTGATTTGATAGCGTGAGATTTTTCGAGAATCGCAGGATTTATATTTGACATAAACTGCCAGAAAAAGGAAAAAAAATACTCTAAAAATGTTTTACCTTTCCATCCGTTATGACCAAGGTTTTCACAGGTTAATCAACAATAAACTTAATTGCAAAATGCACTTGAATATAGGTTTTGTAACCAAATGATATCTTCTAAAAACAAATTGATCAGGATGAATTTCAATATGGTTCTATGAAATTAATTGATTAAAGGTTGTGTTGAATTTTAACTTAAATTTGACAGAAGGAAAATTTTACAATTCTCGATTATTTTTTCGAAGGGACGTATCAGTTTTTGTAAACAATGCATTTGATCGTCGATTTGACGTAATTGGTAGCTCGTCCACGCATGCTAACACTACCATCAGATAGGGGAAATTTCCCCTTACCTTATAGTGGTGTTAGTATCCTGCGAATTAAACCTTCTATTCCACCAGACTTATTTCTGACAGACACATTCTCGAAAATCGGATAATCAACAACAGAGGGATTTTCGAACATTATAATTTATTTCGAAGTGTCAAATTTAAGTGAAAATTAACCAAATGGAACACAGTCTTATCCGGTTAACTGGTTCCTGAAAGGGTGAACTTAGGCTGTGAACCATTTGCTGAGTTAAATTTAACTAGTGGTTAAAAATGACATTTCGAAAGTTATTTTCTATGTTCGAAAATCCCCGTGCTGTTGATCGACCGGTTTTCGAGTCACAGTTGTCAAAATTTAACCTCTTGTCTGTCAGAAGTAACCACGCTCGGATATCAGGGTTAATCGATAACTTTCCATCTGTCAAATTTTAACCAAAAGTTAAAATAATTCGCCAAATGGTTCAGAACCTTAATATCCCTTTTTGATGATTTACCAGTAAACTGGTTCAAACTAAGGGAAAACTGAACAATTTGTTCTTCATGATCTAGCCTTCCGTTTTAATGATTAACGTGTACGCTTGCTACTTGTATACATATAAATGTTTGCCTGCTACAACTTTACCAAAGCCCAATTTTTATTGAACTTCAGTAATGGTAATTCAGTAACTTAGTAATTCATTGAGTCAGAAGCAGATAACTTTATGATTAGTAGACTGCTTTCAGAACTGTAACTTGCATTTTGACATAATAGGCTAGAATGATCTGTACTATTCTTCACTCTATGACCATAGAGGTAACTCTAAGACTAGAAGGTCCCGAAATAACGTGCTCAACTTTTTGGCTCAGCTCTGGTACTCTCTTCGGTCCCAAGCTAATCGATTCACCCCTCAAAACATAGTAAAATCCAATAACCCCTCATTTTACCTGTTAAACTTTCATAGCGAATCAAAACAAACACAGTGTAGTACTAGAATTTCAACTAGAATGGGGGACGTTAATCGATTTGCTTGGGACCAATAGGCTAGTCAAATAGTGAGCCAATTTAAATTCGTTAGTTTCGTATTGATTGTTGCTATGACCTTCATGTCAGAGGATCGTCATCTTACTTTTTAATTATAATAACTAATTTTCTAGACAATTGAACGGGATTTTCTACAAAACTTAGGCTGAGAACATTTCCTATAAGAACAAATAGCCAGCTTACCCGTAACTCATTATGGCTAGGGCAAGTAGAACAAAATGTTCACTTTCCTATTGTAATTCCCATTTAAATTTCAAATCACCAAATCAATGGCCAGGCGGAGATATAAAGACGGTTAAAGATGTAATGAAAAAGTTCTTGCTCGACTTGAATTTAATGGAACTTGATTTAGAGAACCATTCGCCAACTCAAGTATCCTGAGAGCCTCCAGTGCTGCATAGGGCCAACGTCCGTCCGTAACGTCTGGGTAGTGGATGAAGAGATCTGTCAGTAAAATGCGATCGCTCTGATGACACAACGATACCCAATTTCCTGTTCCATGTTCCATGCTCATCTCCTGATCCTATCCTTTGACAATGTACCCTTTCAACCTCGAGTAATGTGCGAGTATTCGGCCAAACTTCTACTAGACACGAGCAATCTAGATTCTCTAAAAATCTCTCGCTTGCGAATGAATCTTCGAAAAGTATTCTACCATGTCTTGCATCAAAATTCATCTACTCTCATCGTGATTCATTCTTTTACAGGAAATCTTCAAAACGTCCATTAATCTGCTTTCTATCTACGCATGCATCGCACGAAACCAAATCAAAATCTTCCCTATATCTTAGCTAGAGTCATCTCCCTTGGACTTGTTCGTCAGTAATATTTTAGAATTAGCTTTGCGGGTGCTGCTGTCATTCGTATAAAATGTTATGTGCGGATCTGGATTTTCTGTAATATTGCAAATGAAAACGAAAAAGTTTACTACACTAGAATTCAAAGATGACATGTGGTGTACTTTTTTCAATTAATTTATTTGTGTTGGGTCAAATGTCCAAAAGGACTCCACGGAGCCGAGAAATTGTTTTTTTTTACTTTTCATGGGTCTTACTTTTCATGGAAAGCAACGTGAGCTTTACTTCCGCTTTCTTCCGTGCTCAAAACTCCCTTAATTCTTCCAAATGTATTTCCTTTACCAGCGCCGGCTGCTTGGCTTGATCTTCGTCTTTTATCCACTCCGTCTCAGTATAGTCCACTATCCCGAATTTGTATTTGATTTCTCCTCCGCTATCCGATATGTATCAATCATCTATACGAGATCCGAGCCCAGTGATTTCACAAAATTTTCTATCTCACCCATGATGGGTTTCGCACTTCGATTTGCTTCCACCGGCAACGACAAAAGCGAACGAGCTTCAGGCAGTGAGCAAGCACTGCAACAACAGTTGCTATCGAATTACAGACACTCATGCGGTGTGCTTTGTCAACCACAGCTCCAAAGATTAAAAGGATAGCTAAAAGTGTTCAGGTGCCAGGTTTTTCATAAACTTTTACTTTACAAATAAGGGTTTGCACTTGGTGCATCGTAAACGTATAAACCTTTCAGAATGCGTAAACTTCATGACCGTAAAACGGTAAAGGATAGGTAGATTTTCGAAGAAAAAATATCCAAATAACAGTTTAAGGGAAACCAGGAACTATTTGGGTGAACCTGGTTTAAGATTTAAGCGGAGGTGTAAAAATCGGCCCTTAATGTTGTTTGTTCTGAGCTATGCAGAAAACGGTTATATTCAGAGCATATTTCCTCGCATTTTTAAGAAACCAAATCTCTATTAAACAAAAAAAATAGTTTAAAACTGACGCATGCGTCTCTTGATGTAATCGCAAATCCATTTTAACAGCATTTCCAGGAATTAACCACTGCCCAGAGAAAGGCTGTCCAGAAACCTTCTTCTTCTTTCATTTATTTAACTCTATGTTCCGCAATCCAGCGCCAATCACCGATGTGCGTCGATTGCAAATTGGTGATTAATCACAGGCGGCAATATAGTGTCTAGAGAGGCAACTTCACACCTGTAACCTATCGAACCCATGGGCCGGGACAAAAGGCTTTACTTCCCTCCCGAAGGAAGACGTGGCCAAAGATTTTTCGCCTCAGAAAAATCCCAAACTCGGGTGATACAGTAGACACGCTTATGTCGTTTTCGTTTTTGCGGTGTAGCACTGGTGTAGTGTAGGTGCATTCTATATCTACACCCTAAAATATTTCGGTGTACGGCAGTGTAGCACCGGTGTAGCTACACCGCAAAAACGAAAACGACATTAGTTACCAGTCAACCACCGGCGCCGTGATTCCAGGTACCACTTGGACGGCAACCAAAAAGGCTGCAACAACCGCCACACAAAAGCTACCATGGTCCCAGACGCTTTTGATTTTTTTTTTAATCGGTCAACTGGTTCCGGAGATCATTCAAGATCATCAAAATTCAAATATATTATCATTTGCGGTAATTTTGAGCCCCGAAATTCAGATACAGACCCATCCTATCATTATCTTACTTTCTTCCCTAAATGCTAATTAACGGAGCAATTTCGTCTCAATTTAAATAAGTATGAAGGGCAGAGCTCACCAAATGTGGATAAATTCAGGTTTTTTTTCTATACGATTTTAAAATTGTTCTGAGTTCTTACCTATTATTTACACTTTTACCACTGTGCCGAAAGCATTGACGTCACAGTTCTTATAATTGCTGATTTTCACACTAGATGACACTTGTTATTAACAGCTTATGCAGCAACCTTACTGGTGCTGCTACCTACAATTCTATACCCAAACACTTGTTATATACTTCACTTTTTCCAATACTTTTCGGAATTTCCTATTTCCAGTTACATCTTAAAAAGCCTTTCACTTAATCACTTAATCTTCTGTGCACTTCGTGCAATGTAAGTTCAGTGAATGCGATAGACTTGATCAACATTTTTGTTTGGCTCAGATACTAATGTCGCAGCCGTAACGCTATCATGTAGAAACACAGATTATTTTTTGACATTTTTTCACCACCCTCTGATCTTCCATAGTTGCTGATTTTCCTGTCACTAACCAACTCCAGATTCGAGAAAATTCATTTTTGCACAAGTTATTTTTCGCAAAAACACTACAATTCACTAGACAATTTGCATATAACGATAATATTTTCGCTTAAAGCCAGAAATTTTACTCCACAAATGCTCTTCATTTGCGATGATGATGATCAATCTCATCTATCGATTCGCTGTTGCTCCCTTCAAAACAATTACAATCATCGCTTTTGCTATTGCTTGCGATTTCCATTTTGTAAAATTAACGCACAAAACAAACTTTTCGCGTCGGGATAACACTTGCACGACCGGAAGTGGATGTGGCTCGACAGATTTACACTATTTTACGGAGGATTTTTCCTGGTTTTACCCACCAATGGAAAAATATTAAGATTTTTTTCACTCTACACTGATAGGCTCCTTGGGAGTTTTTTTCATGTCGAATATTTCAGTAGATGAGAAAATATACAGCGACGTTTTGTGAAAGTTAAACGTCAACAACGTCAAAGTTTTTGCGTGTGCGGTGGAACAAAACAGAATCAATGCCCAAAAACTGGTCGAAAACGTAGAACAGTTTAACCAAAAAAAGAATTCCAATGTAGCGTGAAGTATTGTTATCATCGCACACACACCGAATAAAAACTAACACTTCCTGCACGGACGAGGAGAAAACATCCCTAATAAAATTGTTATGGTTATTTTGCTTAACGACGTGTTCGCGGTATCATCCAAACCATTTGTGAAATAGTTCTATTATGTGGGTTATCGTTCGCTTATGGTATTTTTTATTAGGGATGGCTGACCACGCAATCAGCCGGCGCGGAAAAAAATCACAAAACAAATTGCTAAGTTCCATTCGCCATTTGGTAGCCCGTCGGATGAAATTACTCTAGCGGTCCCCATCCCGGACGAAGGGTGAATCAGTTTTCAAGCGCCCAATGTCAAATGACGTAACTTTTTCGCCAGCAATTCGTATGGGCTAATCAGCTACACGGATAGAAATCTCCTTATACCTTTTGGCAAATTTTCATTGCTGATTATTCATAAAATGTTTAAGTCAACTAATAAGTAGACGCCTTGCAAAAAGTTAATAAAGATCATGTGTCAAATGAAATGTATAAGCTGTCACACATACCTTTTATGCATTCTAATAGGACCTATGTGGTTTGTCTTATGGAATGTATAAGGCTGATGCTTTGGCAAAAATGTATAAGTGAAACACATGAATTAAATAATTGATTTTCGTTTCGTGTAGATGGCAACCCTATCTTGTTTGCCTTGCCTTAAAAAGAGCTAACATCGCTGCGGGCCCGAGAATTGTGGGCCCCACTGACAGCTCATAATTTGTAAACAAAAAGAAGATTCAAGCCAGAATTTCAAAAAAGGTGTGACTGATATTTTATAGATATTCTCAATATTTTTGCTTACATTTTGTGAAAAATAAACTCAGAACTTATAAAATATTATTTTCTGATTGTCTACCACGAAGTCAACCATTTATATGGCATAAAAGGGAAAATAATTTCATTTGATAAATAAGACAATTCAGTCACGCCATTTTAGCAGTTCACACTTGAATTAATCATGTTTTGTTGTTTTTGACATCATCCACATCCAGAGGGCCAGTCACTTCGAATGTATGGGAATGGTAGGAAACCATTTGGAAATGCATGAAAATTTTCAATTTTTATTCATTATCGTCTTTATGGGCAGTTTTAGATACACAAAAATTGCACGAGTACATTACTATGGTGATAAGGTAAACACTCGTTTATTTGTTTCCTTCTGTAAAAGCATGTTTAGTCACAAATCGTGGATTTTCTGATATTCTCCATACTGCAAAAATGATTTTCCTACCACTGAAGGGGCGACATCTCTGGGATCTTCAGTATAGCTACTACTCAAATCATATAATTAATTGTGACGTTTCAGATGTTGGTTTCAATAACATGGTGGCATATCACCCAGCTGGGGCTAATGCTGAGGTCTTATTTTGAAAGTCTCAACAAGTCCCCACCGATATATTTTTGCTGGCATCACTGGTCTTCCTGAGAGAGGCTTTTGCATGTTTAAGCTTTTGAAAATACTTAGGTACTCGCAACCAAACGATTTTACGCAAACCCTTCACGGATACGAATTTTGTTCGTTTAAATCAAAAATATAAATTTTGATACCAACCGGTGGAAACTGACGCTTTTAAATTGATCAAGATTTTTAGATGGTCAAGTTTTGAACCCACCACAGTATGCTTTTGGCGCTACTGTATATGGACGATCAAATGTAAAATACTGTGGTAGCCGCAGCATAGTTATGTCAAAACCTCAGTATTTTCATTAACCCATTGACTCACTACTTTACTAGCCTATTGGTCCTAAGTACATCTACAAGCATACCCCATTCCTCGAAATTCTAGAACTACATTATGTTTGTTTTGATTCGCGTCGCGAATCGTGTCTACCCTGGCCGTACCCTAACCACCGAAGTGACAGACGACTAACTGGCGAAGAAATCAATTAAAATAATATGGTTTTTTTTTTCCTTTGGTTTGTTTTTTCCGTCGATCTTGTTTTCCGTGCTGAGCACCAATGCTACCGACGTGCCAGGAAGGCAGCTCCCACACCTGGACCCTACCTATCGACCCATCAACTCATGAACCGGGGACCAACGGCTTTACTTCCCATCCTAAGGAAGGCGTGATCAGAGATGTTATGCCTCAGAACATCCCGGCGGCGCCGACTGGGATTGAACCCAGGCCTGCTGGAGTGAGAGGTAATCACGCTTACCACTACACCACCGGCGCCGTTAAAATAAAATAATATGGTTCGCCGTAATAGAATTTTCTTAGAAGCTTGTACCATCAGCACGGAATCAAATTTTGTTCATTTAAATCAAAAATATATATGTATATATAGTTCAAAGTAAATTAAAAACATGTTTTCAACAAAAATATGTATGTTTGACGCATCTAAATCTCAATGCTAGATGCTCGAAAAATCTCACACTAGCGAATCAATCTTCTAAAAATCTTCATTCATTTCTAGCTTCTACTTACATCGCGCATCATCTTTTTGCAGGAAAGCTTCAGAATCGTCATCAATCCTCTTTCTATCTACAAAAGCATATTTATTTCAACATTACATAATCTGGGTAAACAATTTTTAGCGTGTCCTTTTTTTCCTTCTTGTTTACATTCAGCAAACTCAACTGAAAAGCGAAGGGTCTGGAAACCCACGCAAGCAAGTGTTCCAAGCTCGACGAAACTGGTGGAAACCCACAATATAGAAAGGCCAAAGAGGCCGGTATGAGGTCCACCGTCAGAAACGACAAAACGACGCTAATATCACAAATTTTCACCAGTTTTACTGAACTGGACCCCCGGGACACCCACCCCGACGGCCTCCCGGATCCAACACCCCTTCTTTCATCCCAGGAATTTAGATGCCCTGTCTGCAGATTCCCATTTATTTGCTATCCATTTTATCCAAAATAATTTCAAAATATTTTTGTTTATTTTAAAATCAACATATTTATTTTTGATCACCTACACAGAAAAAAAAAGTTGTTGAATATTACATCCAAATTGCTGCAACTAGGTCAATCCATCGGTTGTGTAATATAACGTTGTACCAACAATCAATACGAAACTAACGATTTTAAAATGGCTCACCACTTTAGTAGCCTATTGGTCCCAAGCAAACGATTAACGTACCCTATTCTAGTTGAAATTCTATTACTACACTATGTTTGTTTTGATTCGCTATGAAAGTTTGACAGATAACATCAGGGGTGTGTGGATTCATGCAGAACATGCAGGGGTGAGTGAAATAGCTTGGGACTGCTTGGGACCGTTGTTCTGGTACTGAGTGAGCCAAAAATAATAATGATTTTCTTCGGGACCCAGTGGTCTTAGAGTTACCTCTATGGTAATACTGTATTTGGTTTTTGCAATCACATTAGTTATTCATACAGTAACATGCATTACGTCAATCAATATTACATTCTTTTTTGGTATTTGTGTTAATTCAAGAATATAAATACAAGTAAGAAACCTGTCTATACTATTTCGATAAAACGATAGATCAAAATGCTGGTGTTTACACTGCTTGCACATGTTTGCTGGTGTTCACACTGCTTGCACATGTCGAAAGAACTGTCAATCAAAAGTAAATACTTCCACCATGAATTACCGGAAAATTGCTCTAGTTTCGGCAGACGTATTTGCTTTTATTATTTTAAATAAAATGAGAAAAAGAAGGTGAACTTTGTGGAGTAGGAAATGGTTGCTCAGGAGGAACACCGGCAGGGATCTGGCTCATCTTGTCCATCAAGAGCTGCGATATGAAGATGAAAATGGATTTCAAAACTTCGCCAGGATGTCGATACCAACTTTAAACAAGCTAGTGGGAAAAGTTCTCACTAGAAATACATGATTCCTTGAGTTCTGAAAATTTATGTTAACAACTCAATTCTGCAAGGTCTTCAAACCCTCTGACGTCCCTGAAGTTTTGTTTCTGTTCTCCGGTAATTTTTTTTTAAAGATCAACAATCTTTCCTAACAATTTGCAAATGTCTAGGTAGTTCTACAGATTTCTTTGAAATTCTATGTGTTCTTCAGAAGTTCTGCAAATTTTCCTAAAAATCTACAAAGTTCCTGAATCCCTGAAGATTTAAGATCCTTAAAGATCAACAATTATCTCTGATGTTCACAAAATTTCTAATAATCTAAAAACTTCTCGAAAGTTCTGTAATTTTCTCTGCAGATTTTTATGATTCAATGAATATCTGCAAATATCTCTGAACATCTATACAATTTTCTAAAGAATTAAAAGATTATCTAGAAATTTTTGAGCTCTCCGGAAGTTTTAAGAAGTATTCTAAAGTTTTTCTAATTTTTCTGAAGCTGTGCAAAGATAAATGAACTTAACTGAAGTTCTGTAAATGTCTTTCAAAATCCAAGAACCGCAGTAAAATTCTGAAAATTTATTTAAACATCTGCTAATTTTTGAGTAGATTTACGATCTACCCTCTGAACTTTTCTGAAGTTCCTAAAATTTATTTCAAATTCTGTAAAGTTTTCTGAAGTACTGTATTTCTGCTTTAAAGATCTACGAACAGCTTTGAAGTTCAATAAATTTCACAGTAAATCTCCGAACTTTTATAAAGTTCTTTAAATTTCTTTGTGGATTATTTATCTAAAGATCGGCGAACTTTCCCGAAAATCTGTGAGTTTTGCTGAAGTTTTGCAATTTTTTCTAAAAACGTACGAACTTTCTGACGTTCTACTTCTCTTAAGGTCTACGGAATTCTCTGAAGTTATTTAGATCTATCTATTTCCGACTTCCATGGAGTTCTGCAAAATATTGTACTTTTGTACTTCGATGCGATTTGTTTTTGGAATTGAGGTGCTTTTCTGACATTTAACGAATTTTTCTTAAGATCTCACATTTGTGTGAAACTATCTGTCAAATTCCTGTAAATATCTTTAAAGTTCTGTAAAGTTGTCTTAAGCTGCGTAGCTCTATTCCCAAGATCTACAAAAAAACTTGAGGCTCAATAAATTTCTCAGTAGATCTGCAAACTTCTCTGATGTTTTGTAAATTCCTCTCGGGTTACCCTGAAGATTTGAAAACTGAAGATTACCTTTAGGTTGTCAAAATTTATCTGAAAATATTTGAGCTTCTTAGAAGTTTTAATTTTCCTGAAATCGTGTTAATATTTTTTTTTGATTCGCCGAGCTTCCCTGAAGTTCTGCAATTTTTACTGAAAATCCATTAACATTTATGAGATTCTTGTGTTTTTTCAGAAGTCCTGTATTTTTTTTTTCAAAGTTCTGTAGCTTTGTTTTGAAGATCTACGAACTTTTCTGATGTTGAATAATGTTTCGAGGATCTCCAAACTTCTGTGAAATACTTTATATTTCACTGTAGATTCTTGGACTTGTCTGAAGTTATGCGAATTTCCCTGAAGATTTGCAAAATTTCGCTTATAGTAATTATTTTTACATGCTTAAAGTTTTGAAAATTTCTTTGAACATTTATCTGAAGATCTGCGACCTCTCTTGTGATTTTGTTTTTATGAATTTCTGTTAATTACTTGTAATTTGTTTGTAGTTCTGTTCTCAAGATCTACGAACTACCCTGAAGCTCAACAAATTTCTCAGTAGATCTCCGACCCTCTCTGAAGCTCAAAAAAAAAAATTCTATGTAGGCCTGCTGTCTGGCATGCTTATTCTTATACAATACATGCTTCGTATGCTTCCTTTTGACGGTTGCCAGTCTCTCTTTTTCGGCTGTTTACTTTTTATGACGATTTTGATCATCCACATACAAATCAGCGAAGAGCGAGCGTGACAAGACTCTCTGAATGAACTTGTCTCGTTCACACACGTTGTCTTAGCTGTCAGATGCTTGTCAAGTTCAGTGTCCTTAAGAAACGTTTCGAGAAACTGAACGAAAAACTTCTTTTGAATTACGAATGAAGTGATAATTGGAAAATTCCCTGAGTGGAACCAAAATTCCCTGAATATTCCAGGTTTTCCCAGAAAAAATAAAATTCCCTGTAAATTCCCGGTTTTCGAGGTAGTAGACACCCTGATCCCGCCGATATCGTCTCTCGAGGCCAACTGCCGGAAGCTTTGAGACAGAACAGCCTCTGGTGGAATGGTCCGAAGTTCCTGTCTTCATCCGAATACGACGGTGAAGACACCGAAGAGATTCTCGACAACAATCCGAGCTGAAGGTCCTAATTGCAACTCCTGCGTTAAGTTGTGAGCCTTTTCCGTTCTTCTTCAAACCCAGCTCTTTTCGAAAAATTCAACGCATCATGGGCTACGTGTTGAGGTTCGTCAGCAACTGCCGAAGGCCACGGTCACCCGATCGTGTGAAGCAAGCCCATCTCACTGTCGAAGAGCTACGTCAAGCATCGGAAGCAATCGTCAAGGTGATTCAACAAGTGCACCTTGGTGATGAAATTCAACGACTGGTCTCCAATCAACCATGCAAACGTCTGGGCAACCTGCGCCCGGTGTATAAAAACGGCTTGCTGCGAGTCGGAGGGCGATTGGATCGGTCGAAACTACCGTTTGCAGCGAAGCATCAACTCATTCTTCCCGACAAGGATCCTGTAACGAGAAAGTTGATTAGTGCATTGCATTTAGAGCATCTTCACATCGGTCAAGCAGGTTTCATCAACATCATTCGGCAGAGGTACTGGCTTCTGAACGCAAAGTCTACTGTGCGACAAGTAACACGGTCTGTGTGAAATGTTTTCGCACGAATCCTGATGAAACCAAACAGCTAATGGGAAATCTACCGACATCGAGAATCGTACCATCGCCTCCGTTCGCAGTGACTGGTGTGGATTATGCCGGTCCGTTTCTGGTGAAACAAGGTTCACATCGTCCGAAGCTCGTGAACGCGTATGTAGCAGTCTACGTGTTAAAGATATTCATCAGTCGAAGAGGAATGGTCCAACAAATTCTTTCGGACAATGCAACAAATTTCCACGGAGCAAACCACGAACTACACGAGTTGTATCGGCAATTCCAAGATCAACAAACTGCGAAGAAAATCCAACAGTTCTGCCAAGCACGTGAGATACAGTGGCATTACATCCCGCCGGACGCACCAGAGTTCGGTGGTCTCTGGGAAGTGGCGGTTAAGGCGACGAAACCCCACCTGAAGAGAGTCGTATGCAACGTGAAGCTAACATTCGAAGAAATGGCGACCATCCTGACGGAGATAGAGGCTATCCAAACTCGCGTCCGTTGTACAGCGTGTCCAGCGATCCTGCAGATCCACAGGTAATTATGCCAGCTTATAGGTCGTCCGCTGATCGCTCCAGCCGAGCCGTCCTTGGAAGATATCAACGTTAACCGACTCGATCGATGGCAACATCTTCAACTGATGCGTGAGCATTTTTGGCGAGCGTGGTCCAGGGATTACTTCAATTCTCTCCAACCACGCAAGAAGAATCTACGAACGACACCAAACCTTCGACCTGGAATGGTGGTCGTACTCCACGACAAGACTCAACCCCCACTCAGTTGGAACAACAATCAATATGAAACTATCGATTTGAAATTGGCTCACTACTTGACTAGCCTATTAGTCCCAAGCAAACCGATTAACGTACCCCATTCTAGTCAACATTCTAGCACTACACAATGTTTGTTTTGATTCGCTATGAAAGTTTGACAGATAAAATGAGGGGTTAGTGGAATTTCCTATGTTTCGAGGGGCTAATCGATTAGCTTGGGACCGAAGATAGTACCAGAGCTGAGCCAAAAAGTAGAGCTCGTTTCTTCGGGACCTACTAGTCTTAGAGTTACCTCTATGGTTGTACGATGTACATCGATTTTGCGAACAAAATTACATCCATTGATGTAAGATTGTATCTGCTTTTTGCTCTTACATCATTATTTCATACATCAGCTTGAATTACATTGATCGATATTACATTTTTTCTTGCTGTGTATAGTTGTCAAATCAAATAAAAATATTCACGTTTATTTTCAACACGAATATTTTTAAAATAAACGTAACATTATTTTTGTTTTAAACACTATTATCAATGGATTTAAACATGGAATACGTTTGAAATCAACCTAGTTTATGTTTGTGGCCAGAACAAACTGATTTTACGTTTATATTTACCCCTGGTGCCACTCTTTGGTACTTTGTATGGGAGCGAGCTGTAAATTTGTTAGTTTTATCACCGACAAACCGACATGAATGACCATAGCAAAAGCAATAAAATTTCTGACCAAAGTCCAACACTGACATCTGGCTCCATGTTCACGAAAAATATTTAGCTAAGCCATGAACCCGCATCCAAAATTATGAATTGGTTCGTGTCTGATCTATTCTGGAAAATATATTTTTATCTATCATCAAAAATCCTATAGTTTTGACCGAGGTTTTAACAGTTCGGATCACTGCACATTTAAATCGGCCGTTTACGGTTTTCGGGCATAAGTCAGAATTAAGTGTCATGTCGGTTTGTCGGTGGTTTTATGTCAAACAGTGAAGTGGTTATTTTACTTTAAACTTGTTTAAACCTTAATTTGAAAATCGGGATGGAAGTAAAGCTTGCTTGAGCTTGAGCTTGATTGACCGCCCACTCTGTTACTGCCAGATCAGCTGTAATTACACAGAGAACCAATAGACGATGCTTGGGACTAGCAATCATCCTCAATGTGTAAAAACTGGTGATCTTAAATTAGGCAATACCAGCGCCGGCCGCGCCCGAACACAGGTCAAGAAAGGAATGGGAAGGATTGTGTTGACATGACACTCGCTTTGATGGAAGCCGAGAACACCTCTGCACTTCCACGAGGAATCACTGGGATGTTGGATAAGAGGGTTGGGTTTGCAGCGAGGTTTGCAGCAGGGTTCGTTTTGGTAAACGATAAGCTGAATTGATGTCCTAACGATCATATAACGCGAAGGAGCTTGGGACTAAACCCACGGTCTTCTGCTCAGTAAGCAAAAACGTTTGCCACTAGGCAGACGAGCACCCTAGGGGCATCCCACTCTAAACTTCATACCTAATATCAGTAAAATATTTGTAAATCCCGTGTAAGTATTCTTAAGTATTTTTAAGTATTTTAAACCATGGCTATAAATTTCCATCGAAGTAACACTTATTTTTTGATGACCGGTTGCTAGTGCATGTGTTTGTTGTTGTCGGCCGTCTTGTATTTATACAAATAGGAGTGTTAAGTATTTTTATTATGTGTTTAAATTAGTATTATTTAATTTATATTTTTCAGCGATTCAGCTTGTAAATATGCTTCAAGAGCTGGTTACAAAGAATGATATTTTCAGTACAAGTTGAACGGTGTTTACCGATCGACTGAACTCAAAGTGTGTATTGGCTCACATATACCCTCTCGGTGTACAAAGATCCTGCGATGATGAATATTGGTATATTCAGATATGAGCGTGCATTAGCTGACCCGAGCAAAAATTTGCGATGCCATGAGAGAGACAGCTAGTAGTTTTCTCTTTCTCTCTCTCCCTCTCGTACCGTGGACCTACCTAGCAGCGAATCATCTGACTACGATTTTGTTTTTGCAGTATCGAGGAACTGTTGCCGTGAAAACGTGCAGGCCTGAGCAAATGCAGGATGAAAAGTTTGTCGATCTACCGGGTGTTGAATGGGAATGGCCGTTTTGACTCTCCTTTTGAATAAACTACTAAAACTACTATTTTGAAAAATTAATGCAATTATTATATCACATTGGACACAACGTTTTACTTGTTTTAATTATACGTAGGAAAACAACGAAAACTAAATCCATTCGTTTAAATAATTCTGACTATGTTGCTTATACTGTGTCCAGTGGCCTTTAAGGTTTATTAGGGGAAGGAGGGACATAGTGAACAGGTGGGGCATAGTGAGCATCCCACACTTTGGCTCTGGATCTCCAGCTGCATGAAACAAATCAACTGGTAGTTCAATATCACTATGATATTGATCCTACCACTAACCAATTTGTTCCGAACGGCCGGAAGTTCAAGCTGGTGCACGGGATGCTCATAGCCCTTTTACCCCAATCTACTGTAATAAACATGTTCTGCGTTTAGAAGGTGGAAAGCTAAGAGATTTGCATTTCCGCAATACGCCCATATTCTCGTTTAACATACTGTCCGGACGTAAACGAGAATATAGGTGATAGTATGGTCATATGTGGTCATATGGTTTCGTACATCCAATTATGTTCTTATCAGGCATTGTCATAGTCACACAGCCAAGAACCGAGCGGAAAAAAAGAACAACACAAAATTCACTATTAGATTGGTTATACAAATTATGGAACTCGAACGAGTAACAACAAAGGTTCCAACCCTAATAAAAATAACCATAAACGAACGATAACCCAAATCATTGAACTATTCCACAAATGGTTTGGATGATACCCAGAACACGTCGTTAAGCAAATTAACCATACAATTTTTATTAGGGAATGCCTATCATAATTAATTCTTTCTGGTACATGGTGAACAGATTACACCGAAAATGGTTCGGAACAACTAAAGCTGTTCACGCTCTTAATCAAATGAATGTTAATTGTGTAGCAAATTAACCAATATCCACACAAAACGCCTGACATTGGATAAACAAGCAAATTAAATTGACATAGCAATCAAGCAAATAAACTAACGCTAGATATTTCTTATAAGTATTTTTAAGTATTTTTGGGTATCTTAGATATCACTAAGATCTTTATATGTATGTTAGGAAAAATACAAAGTTTAGAGTGGGATGCCCCTAGCGATCACCTTTTTAATCACCGAGTTGCTGTTATTACCATGTAGTCATATTAACAAATAAAACGATTGACGAATCTTGAATGTGGATGGGCCTGAGATTAGACTCATGATGTTCTGCTCAGTAAGCGAAAACGGTTGCTATAAGGCCACCGAGCCCCTCATATCACATAATACCGTTGCTCAAATTTGTGTGTCCATTCAAACCCGGAACCAACGACAACAACGAGTTTCGCAAAATACACGATACACAAGCGATTTTACCATAAATCTCTTTGATATGTAAGGACCTGGGACCGCGTTTTTCTGCTCAGTAAGCAGGCCACTGTAACCAACGATCTTTCAAATCCGAAAACTAATATCTACGAAAAAGTACTTAGGCTTTCATTAAGTTCCACTTTCACGCGACGTTCAATGACAGGGTCCTATCCAGGATTACATCTGAAAAATCCAAATCTGGCCAACGCCCACCTAAACCTGTTCTAATCCACCTGAAATGACTAACGAATGGAAGACTTTGACTACCCAGCCATGCAATAGTCTCATTCCGTGCCTTATGGCAACTTGATGATTCTATTGCACTCATCTTTTGGCACCACCCAGGGGAGACTTGGTCCTGTACCCAATGCTTAACTTATCTCCATTCCACTCAGCTACTCGCAATTTCTTGTGATATAGTGGGCGGAATATTATTATATGAGACAATTCAATGCAGACGTCTTTCCAAATTTGGCAGATCGACAGGTAATCGGTGAGTTACCACGATAGTTGCTATTCAACAACTCGACAACGTCCCATCGTCAACGCCTGCTATGAGAATTTCCCATTGCAGACGCCAACGAAATGACGTCATCGAGCTATCGATCAACTACCCTGGTTATCGCCTGGTACCTTATAGCACGATGCTAGGAGGCGAACCGGAAGAATCGATGAGCTACCTCTCCCCCCTGAAAATCGGGATGGAAGTAAATAAGATTAAAAAATATCATTGTGATCAGAAAACGAATCCCTTTCGGATGGTGTATTTATAGTAACCGATATATTTTTCAAAATTAAAAAAACTCAATATGCCTTTTTAATAGAAACTAAGTGATCGATTCAGCCTCTGGTGGTGAATAAGATAACTTCTAAAAGAGTGTTGTGAGCTAGGTTGTGAGCAGAAAATGTTTGCCGTGAGAAATTGGAAGCGGAACACTTTTTCGCTATTCATGATTTGATTCATCTGAGATGCTCCAAAAATTGATCTACAGTTGAAAATTTTAATTCTGTATCGTTTTTTGCAAGGGTTCGGCTGGTGTTCAGGAATATTTTTGTTAAGAAAAATGGAAAATTAGAATAATGCCTTAGTGGTTATGATCTTCCAAATTTCTTGTGCGTGAATAGTTGAGGTACAAATCAGTTCAGATCTGTGGAAAATCGTAAAATAAGACAATTACTGGTGGAAACTGCGGGAAGTTGACAAAATGTTCAATGAAAAATGCTTTAATTTGCGTTGGGAAACATCCTTATTCTGATGAAGAGCTTTGAGTGTGTTAGTTTATTTCCTTTTAATTCCGTTATAATTGCTTATCTTTTGACAGATACGCGTATTTCGTCTACTACTTGCAGACTTCATCTGTGCCAAGTAGAAATACTCAGAGGGAGAGATGGGCGAAGAAAACAAAATACAATTTGGCAGCACGGATTCGTACCTAAATTGTCTTGCAGCACTTGCTAAAAGCTAGCATTACACATGACTTTTACTTTTGATTCGATTTACGTGCACAATAATATTTGAGTGCACTGCAATATTTTGCACATTTCTTGGTGTCATTAATTAACCAACTAAGATCCTCGCTAAGATCAATTAATCAATAGTGTTGTTGTAATGTTTTTGAATAGAAATACTAGTTGAATTTGAGAAGCACACGAAACATAAAGATGATTGAATTTCTGTTCGATTCAATACTCTCAAATTTAATGTAGTAAGAATAAGAAATCTTCGGAAAAATCTAATGGGAATGTTCGATTGGCTAAGATTTTGACAGTTCATTTGGCTCAAAACATTCTCTCCGCCTCGCTCTCCGCCCATCTCTCCCTCTGACTATTCCTAGTGCCAAGTATTCAACACCACTATTGCAAGTCTCGATGCAAGTATAGTAGACGAAATACGTGTATCTGTCAAAAGATAAGCAATTATATCGGATATAAAATAACATACCAACACACTCAAAGCTCCAAAGCTCTTCATAAAGGGATTCCGTTAAGAGGTTCGACAAATTTAAAAGACTTATTCTGATGTAAGCAAACGGTTTGGTTGACATTTCCTCTGGAGCTCGCACTCTACAAAAAAAAATGTAATATCGATCAACGTAATTCAAGCTGGTGTATGAAATAATGATGTAATAGGAAAAAGAAGATACAATATTACATCAATGGATGTAATTTTGTACGCAAAATCGATGTACATCGTACAACGTAATATCAATATTACACAACCGACGGAATGATCTCTGTGCAGCTGTTTGGATGTATTGCGCGTTTCACACCAAATTGGACTAATAAGCGCGTTTTCACTTATTAAAAAGTGTGATAAAACTGCAAGTTTACGTCTAATCATCTTGGTGTCTTCGGTGCACTTATTCCTTATGATGCAAGCAATAAGTGCTCCGAAGACATCAAAACGATTTGACGGAAACGTGCACTTTTATCACACTTTTTTGCCTTTTTGGGACAGTCCAGTTTCAGATGCAATCAGCAATAATATTCAACAACTTTTTTTCTGTGTGCGTTGGTTGGGCATTACAAAGGCCTATTGGAAAATATATTTATTTACTTTTAGCAAGTCACGCTTTCGTTTGACCCGTTGAATAAGCGCAGTGGGAAATGTTTGTGTGTATAACAGTTTTCTATACGCAAAACAAAAAGTGGCACGCAACGCCCAAAACTGACATTTCAACTTCGTTCCTTTCGAAATCCAAAGACAAAAGAATCAAAGGACTGACCAGAGAAAAAAAAACAGCTAACACAAATTTTTCATCAAAGTTTCACGACTTTTCTCCAGTATTTTGTCGATGTTTGTGGCGTAAATTGGCGTGTGTAATCCAGAATTTGTTTTAAATTTCGATTGCTGGCCGAAGGACGAGCTAAATTTCGGTATTGAAGCTGAGAATAGGTAAATCCAAATTGATGTCGAATTCTCTTCGCAATAGGTATTTTAATTTGTGTACTCCAATATGTAGGTTGCATATAAGAAAAAATCGTATATAACTCCTTTAGACATAGCCTATCATATCGCAGTGGATAAGTTCGGGGCACTTTGTACGCGATACTTTGGTCAGATCAGCATTTGGATCAAACATTTGGTAATGGAATTACAACAGCTCCAACGCAAACAGACTTCGACTTCCTCCTCATCCTCATCTGGTGCATCGCCAGGAAACGCAGTAGGTGGTACCAGTGCAAGCAACAAGAACGACTACGACAGTTCCCACAGCAGCAGCAACACCGAAGACTACACAGAGACTGACGAACGGCGCCGTCGGATCATGAAGAGCCGTGCAAGGTAAGCCATCAGTGTTTTCCCTTCTATTATAGTTATGCCAGGCAGTCGTACATAAGTGGGTAACTACATGATAGATATATAATCCTGATGGCGAGTCCTGCGTTTGCACAGTGCGCGTCGTGTGATACTGATGAAAGGATATAGGTATATATCTAGTTGCATATAGTTGGCAGACGCGAGTTAGTCATGTTGGCCCAGTTTCTTTGTGTCTCGTGCACCCTTGCCTTTTGTTGTCTATCTGCTGTTGTGGGTGCAGTTGCTTTTGGGATAAGGGAGCCATGTCTAGTCTGGAACCGTTACTTCGTAGTAATTCCATGAAAACTAGTCTGTAACAGTTGGTGCTATCTACTATGATTTTAAAATTATTTTGTTGAAAAGGATTGTGTGAAAAGTGCATGTTATCCGTCGATTTTAGGTAGTATCATTGCAAACTACCGTGCCATATTTGCGAATGTTGGTACGCGCATTTATATTATGTTGTGCTAGGTAAGTGACGTTAAAATCGTTACTTATTTATTAGAAGATGTTCTGTTATAGCTAAATGATAATACAGTTATAGAAAGCAGTGGAAAAAGAAATCATGTTTTGCCAAAATAGATAAGGCACTGTGTTGTACGTGCTAGGTTCAGGTTAGAGGTCATGTGTTACCTATAATGCATAATTTAGATAGTCTTGTAATATGTTACAACAACCACATGAACACAATATTTCGCTAACTTTCAACTGCATGCAATAAAACGTGATATTACTCCGAACATCTAAATTGCCCATAAACTCACAACAGTCCCATGTTGAAAACCAACTAGTCGAGAAAAACGCAGTTTATCTAATTTTTGACGTAGGATTACGTCTTTCGGCAACATATTGGGGGTGCAATTTCAAAAAAACCAAAATCGTCCGCATTACGGAAAGAGGTCAATAGCAGATTTTAAATTTTAATTCTAAACAAGTCAAACGATTGGAAATTGATCTACCAATCTGTTAAAATGAACACTTTATTAATTTTCAATAGGTCACTATTGAAAAATACACTCATGTCCAACTGTTGCAATGGTGATCAAAATTATCACCGATTGCCTGCAAAAAGCGCTTTCCCTAACATAGATTTAAAAATCGAATTCAATGCGGTCTCACTGAACGGTGCTTATTCAATCACCATGTGAGGTGGTGTCCGATCGTCGGTGTCAGCAGCAGCAGTGCTTTCACCGTGTGGCGTTGAACTTTGTTCTTCAGTACACAACGAAAGGCAGCCTGTAAGCAGCGAGCTGCAGATCCCACATGAGCATCCATAGAAAGAGGAAGAAGTCGCGCCGCTTTGGATCGAAATCAGTTTCTTCGTGAGTCGCTGTGGGTCATCTATGCCAAGCGCGTCACCCTTGCTCTAAACAACATACAGCTCGCGAGTCTCATCCGTGTTGAACACCCTAATAGCTCAGCATTACTCAACCATTACGACAAAACGGTCCTTTTCAGGACCACCATATACATGTTAAAGAGTCTTTTTTGGACATTTTCAAGCTGAACATTGCATTAGGTCCTAAGTAATATTGATCGATTCTCTTCGTTGACTTTCACTTTCGTTAATAACTTGGGCACATAACCGTTTCTTTTTGTGTTTGTTGTAATAGATGCCAGATAAAAGCTCCTTTAATCGATCAGTGTGCTGAAAATACCTGGGAATGTCATTACATGGCCGTGGGGATACAAAGAGAAAGTTGACGAAGAGAATCTGTCAATGTTACTTAGGACCTAATGCAAAGTTCAGCTTGATTTGTCAAGGTCATCAATCGAATGCCAGTTCCCATGTGGTAAAATCTAACATACCATATATTTTTAAGGCAACATTGGCAGTGCAATATCAGAATCCAAAGTCGGCCGTGGCATGAAAGTGGTCTGATTTTGATCCAGAGATGATGGATTTTAATTCTATGTGACTATTGAAAATTGCACAAATGTGCAAGTGTTGCTATGATAATAAAATGGTTACCGATTGCCGGCGAAAAGCGCTTTCCCTAGAACAGATTTCAAAATTGAGTTCCATCCGGTCTCAACAAACGCTGTTCATTCAATCACCGCGTGTGGTGAGTGGTGGTGTTCTTCAGTACACAACGAAACGCTCCCCGCAAGTAGCTAGCTTTCAAGGCTGCCCTCAACCACTGATCGAATTCAGTTGCTTGTCGTGATTCTGTGATTGGTGTGTTTTCCCTAATACATATTTCATTTCCGCACCGCTATCATCTCCAAGAACATCGAGGACAAATGTCTACAGTATTGGTCTTGACTAGCATCCAAGCTTCCAACCCATCGGTTTTATCAGGCACAAATGCCTGATAAAAGAGTTAACTAAAGAGTAAGAGCTTGTATCCAAGACATACCGTCCAGGATTGACTTGTACTACATGGACATCGACAGAGCACATCACAAACAGAACTCTCAAATTGCTTCCGAATTTCAACCTATCGAACCTCTGATAACGAGTTAAGAAATCAATTTATTATATAATATACTTTTGCTGTGACATCAAAACCACCTTTCGTAATCCTACGTCAAATCTACGGTCGTGTCTTGGATACAACCTCTTACTTTTTAATTCTAACTGGAATTCCCTTCAAACTTTCATCATCTACTTCTTCTTTTCTAATTCACTCTACAGTACTGTTGGTATTCTCATGAAACCTCGCACTTCAGTTTATTCTATGTATAAAATACTCTTGTTATATTCATTACAGTTCCTTTGGTAATTTCTTCAAATTTACCTATAAGCATTTTTCAGAAACCTTTCTAAATTCACCTCCGCCCTGCTATTGAAGTTTGCTAATAATTTTCTTAAAACTTTCCTCAGAACACTCATGAAAATTTCCTCCGAACTTTGTTAAAATTCTTCTTAGAATGTTGCAAGGATCCTCCTTAAAATTCCCTAATTTTTACCCATTGAAATTATCTCTCGAGCTAAAAATTTCTTTAGAATTCTAGCCAACATTGTCAATCTTTGAAGTGCCAGAGACTGTTGAAAAACAAGCTAATTACAAGAACTTTGAAAATATTTCAATATGTCAGATTTTTGCAAATTGGAAAGAACAAAATATTTTAAAATTTTAAAATCTGAATAATATTTCTCATTCCTTTAACAAAAACCAAGAATCGTGAGGATTTTCGTAGCCTGTAATTATCAAGAAAAATAAATTGTTGCTTTTTTTCGAGTTTACTGAAATAATGAATCTTACTTCAATCTGATTCGGAAACTCAAACATTAAGAATGTAAAAGATAAAAATTAAAAAAAGTTGACAAAAGCTAGTTAAACTAAAAATTTAAACTTTTTTCTAGATACATGAAATCTAATTCAAGCTGAACATTGCATTAGGTCCTAAGCGAGATCCTAAGTAACATTGATCGATTCTCTACGTCGAATTTATCTTTCGTTAATAGAGCACATAACCGTTTCTTGTTGTGTTTGTCGTATTAGATGCTAGATAAAAGCTTCTTCTACCGATCTGTGAGCTGAAAATACCATGGGAATGTCTTTACATGGCCGTGGGTATACAAAAAGAAAGTCGATGAAGAGAATCTGTCAATGACCTTATGCAATGTTCAGCTTGAATTGAGCTGTAAAATAGCGGAACCAATCGAACATATCACGACCAGCACATCAGCTTTTGCGAACAAAACTTCGGAAACCCTTTTGTCGTGACTCTATAGGCTCGTCTACGCAAACTAACACCATCATCGGGTTAGAGGAAGTTTCTCCTATCCCGGTGATGCTGTTAATTTGCGTTCGGTTGGCGAGGAAAGAAATATCAAAATTTTGTTTATATAAGTTGATAGTACCTTTTCAATTGTTGGTCTACAATATATTGAATTGGTTCCGCTTTTTGGGCTGTGAACCATTTGCCGAGTTAAATTTAACTCATGGTTAAAAGTTACATTTCGAAAGTTATTTTCTATGTTCGAAAATCCCTGTGCTGTCGATCGACCGGTTTTCAACCCATGGTTGTCAAATTTTAACTTCTTGTCTATCAGAATTAACCATGCTCGGATAGCAGGGTTCATCTATAACTTTTCATCTGTCAAATTTTAACCAAAAGTCCACCAAATGGTTCAGAGCCTTAGGCTGTGAACCATTTGGCGAGTTAAATTTAACTCGTGGTTAAAAGTGACATTTCGAAAGTTATTTTCTATGTTCGAAAATCCCCGTGCTGTCGATCGACCGGTTTTCGAGCCACGGTTGTCAAAATTTAACTTCTTGTATGTCAGAAATAACCATGCTCGGATAGCAGGGTTAATCGATAACTTTCCATCTGTCAAATTTTAACCAAAAGTTAAAAAAATCGCCAAATGGTTCAGAGCCTAAGAGCCTTAATCGATCTTTCCATCTGTCAAATTTTAACCAAAAGTTAAAAAATTCGCCAAATGGTTCAGGCTGTGAACCATTTGCCAATTTAAATTTAACTCGTGGTTAAAAGTGACATTTCGAAAGTTATTTTCTATGTTCGAAAATCCCTGTGCTGTCGATCGATCGGTTTTCGAGAAGAACTTTGCCAAGGTTGTCAAAATTTAACTTCTTATCTGTCAGAAGTTACCACCAAATGGTTCAGAGCCTCAGAAGGTTTCAGAGCCTTGGGCTGTGTTCCATTTGGCGAATTTTCACTTAAACTTGACAGATGGAAAATTTCCAAATTAACCTGCTATTCCAGCAGACTTATATCTGACAGACAAGGAATCAATTTTGACACACACCTTCTCGAAAATTGGCCGATCAACAACAGAGGGATTTTCGAACATTATAATTTAGTTTCGAAGTGTCAAATTTAAGTGAAAATTCACCAAATGGACCCCCGCATAAACGCGAACCATCACATGACCTTACCGATAATGGTTATAAATTGTTTATAATCCCTGCTAAACTTCAACTGAAATGGTTATGGAACCTTACATGAACGTTTGTGTGATAAAGTTTTAACCTTATGTGTTATGGTTTTTTGGAAGCGGACCTTACAAATAATGGGTTGTTAAGAACCATTACCATTCCAAATTCTTGTTTTCTCCATACATTTTCGGAAAGAGAACTATATTAGAACGTTTTTACTTATGGTTTGAGAACATTAATGGTTATGGTTATGGTAGTCAGTAAGGTCCATTAATGGTTTTGTATTATCACTCAACTTTACGTGAAATATATCGTGAATTGGTAATCAGTAATTTACAGGCAACCAATTCGCGATATATTCCACATAAAGTTGATCGATGTTACAAAACCATTCATGGACCTTACTGGTTACCATAACCATTACCATTAATGTTCTTAAACCATAAGTTAAAAGGTTTTAGTAAAGTTTTCTTTCCGAAAATGTATGGAGAAAACAAGAATTTGGAATGGTAATGGTTCTTAACAACCCATTATTTGTAAGGTCCACTTCCAAAAAACTATAATACTTAAGGTTAAAACTTTATCATTAAACGTTCATGTAAAGTTCCATAACCATTTCAGTTGAAGTTTAGCAGGGATTATAAACAATTTATAACCATTATCGGTAAGGTCAATTTATGGTTCGCGCTTATGCGGGCCACAGCCTTGGTAGATGGAAATTCTATCCGCCAGACTATAAATATAGCGACTATTGGGTACAATGAGATTGTATATCTTGCCAGTCATTATGTTTTGTTGCATTCATTTTTGAAAGATCCAGCTGATTTGTTTCTATTGTATTATTTTGATAAAGCCGATAGGGGTCCGAAGTTTTCGACAACACAGTGTCTCAATAAATTAGCTAAGGTGTATGAAGTTCAGCTGTAGATGATACGTTCTTCCTGTTCAAGAATTCCAGAATCACATTCGCAATAAAACGCAAATCATGTTTCCCCTGCATTTATCGCACAGAAATAACCGTTTGATGCAAGCGCAACACCAACAACAGAGCTCGGTAGCGCTAGTTAAACCATCATCCGCTTTGAAGAAGCAGCTAGACGCTGAAGATCGCATCACACTGGTCGTGGACAATACGACCTTCTCGATCAATCCTGCCCTGTTCACTGCACATCCGAACACCATGTTGGGCCGAATGTTCAGCTCCGGTTTGGAATTCACACATCCCAACGAACGCGGTGAGTACGAAGTGGCAGATGGTATCTCACACACGGTTTTTCGTGCCATTTTGGAATACTATCGCAACGGGGTGATCCGCTGTCCACCGACGGTTTCCGTGCAGGAACTTCGCGAGGCCTGCGATTACTTGCTGATTCCATTCACGGCTGATACGATCCGATGCCAAAATCTACGTGGACTGCTGCACGAACTGAGCAACGAGGGAGCCCGCGAACAATTCGAAGTATTTCTAGAATCGTTGATCTTGCCGCTTATGGTGGCTTCAGCAGAGCGCGGAGATCGCGAATGTCACGTAGTTGTGCTTTCAGATGGTAAATTGAGTAAACAGATAGTAAACCAAACAGTATAATTAAACATAAAACTTTCCTCTTCTAGACGATGTTGTCGACTGGGACGAAGAATATCCTCCTCAAATGGGTGAAGAGTACTGCCAAACCGTGTCCAGCACAGCTATGTATCGTTTCTTCAAGTATATTGAAAATCGTGATGTGGCCAAGCAGGTGTTAAAAGATCGAGGATTGAAGAAAATCCGTCTCGGTATTGAAGGGTATCCGACGTACAAGGAAAAGATCAAGAAACGAGCCAGTGGTCGGGTTGAGGTGATCTACAACTACTTGCAGCGACCATTTATTCACATGTCCTGGGAGAAAGAGGAAGCCAAGAGCCGTCATGTGGATTTCCAATGCGTCAAATCTAAATCGGTTACCAACCTGGCAGAAGCTACGGCTGATCCGGCGTTAGAATTGGATTCAGGTAATATTGAGTTTACTTAGCCATATACTGATAGCTTGCTTATGGTTTATGTTTAATTTGTAGCTGGAAATCCTCTACCGCAGCGACATTTCGACATCTCCAACGAACCCGACGTGGATGCGATTCGTCCCATTGTGGCGGCTATTGCCATCGATGGTGAAGAGGGCGCCGTTGGTGGATTAGTTAACCCAGAAGATGCCTGTGGTGCTGACGAACCGTAAACAGCTGCAGAGCGAGAAATTAGCGCACTATGGAAATTTTATCTGAACTAACTTAAACATATGCTATAATTGAACTGCTGTATTCGTTACTATTTGACAACTATTACCATTACATAGCTGTGCTAGATAAGCAAAAATATCTCAGAAAACTCTTCGTCAGAAGTTGAAAAGGAACAAATGGGCTCGGATTTCGGATGTAATTTCATTGTTTTTTTTTTTGGTTTCTTACTGCTTTCACCTTCTACAGCATTTTTCATACACTGTATGTCCAGTCCTTGATATCTTCTTTAAATTTGATTGTTTCAAAATTTGTTTAACAAATAATATAAAAGAAGACGGTACGAAAGCTCAAAAGTTGTAGGAGAAATATAGTGCTAGAGTTAATTTTTTTTATTAACATATATCTCAATATTTGGTGTAGCACCATCTAACTTTATTCAATTTTATTAATAAACATCAACTGAACAACCGGATAGAGAACTGCGGCAACAATAAAATTCCTCCTTGATTGTCCTCCATCTTTGAATTAATTCTCTTAAGTATATGGCAAAATGTAAAAGTCAAAATAAAATAAAATAATATTTGTGTTAATAGGATAAACATGCATTTTCACTTAAAATATCTAATCGAAAACCTCCTGTTTAGGTAAGTACACATTTCACATCATGGAGTTTCCATCCCAACCGAACGAGCGTTCAACAGCCATCTTCCATTTGCTGTATCTCATGTCCCTTTCATCGTCGGAGATCATCGGCTTGAATGAGATACAATTGCTTTCAACGCTGACGTTCTCGATGTCCCAGCATCCGACAGCTCGTCCCGCAGCCATTGCAGCACCCTATTGAGAATCACAGTAAAACGATCATGAAGGAATTAAAAACAAGGCAGGTATATGTGTAGGTGTACATTAGGGTGGGTCAAGTGTGTATGGTGGATCACAACCCACTGCTCTTTTAATCGGTTTTGAGATCCTCAACAACTGTGCCAAATTGGAACGAATTTGGTTACGATCTGGATTTGTATGAGTGCTTTACTGCCGGTACTCGCATATTAGTCCCATTTGGAAAATCGTCATATTGAGAAAATTACGATTAAAGATATTTGTATAATTTGCTGTTTTTCAGCTTCATCTGGTCATAATATCCAGTACTTATGGTCAAAATAGTTTCATTGCAGCACAAGTCTATCGTTGGATCTTGAATACATTCATATCAGTGGCCTTTCGTTTGGATTTGTGGAATGAAATCAGATGGGACTCATATGCGAGTACATTTTGAGTCGAGTGCCAAAGTACTCGCATACCAGTCCCATTACTCACTATCGCTAAAACTAACGATTTTAAATTGGCTCACTAAGTAGTTGAGCACGTTTCTTCGGGACCTACTAGTCTTAAAGTTACCTCTAGAAAGTCCCGAAGAAACGTGCTCAACTTTTTGGCTCAGCTCTGGTACTATCTTCGGTCCCAAGCTAATCGATTCACCCCTCAAAACATAGGAAAATTCACTAACCCCTCATTTTATCTGTCAAACTTTCATAGCGAATCAAAACAAACATAGTGTAGTACTTGAATTTATACCATAATGGGGTACGTTAATCGATTTGCTTGGGACCACTAGGCTAGCCAAGTAGTGAGCCAATTTAAAATCGTTAGTTTCGTATTGATTGTTGGTAGTACCCCTTACCATCCCTCTCCAACGGGGAAGTTTGTTAAAGAGAGATGATAAAACCGATTTGTACCTTCCTAAAGTTGTCCTAGCTCGCTTTCTACTCTCTATGCAATTTTCACACTACCGTACTCTAACTTACTTATTTACTTAAGGGTCCTGTGCACCATCAGCGGTGCAAAGGGCCAACGTGAAAGACTTCCATCCTGGGCGGCTGCTCGCTTTAGCCTTGACTTGCTTAATTTCCTTATTGAGGCTCCGCCGCCATGAGCCCCTGGGTCTGCCTCTGCTGCGATGTCCTGCCGAATTCCAATCTAGCGCTTGCTTGCAGATTTCGTTTCCGCCCCGTCGAAGTGTGTGGCCGACCCACCTCCACTTTCGCTCTCGAATTTCTGTTGCTATCGGCTTCTGATGACATCGACGATGGGAGCTCGGCATTCGAGATCCAGTTGTGAGGCCACCAGGCATGAATTATATACCGCAGGCATCGGTTGATGAAGACCTGCAGTTTTTGAGTGTTCTCCGCTGATACACACCACGTCTAGCTGGCGTATAACAACACAGATTTCACGTTCGAGTTGAAAATTCGGATTTTGGTGCGTTGACTTATCTGGTTGGATCTCCATACGTTTCGTAAACTCGCAAAGGCAGCCCTAGCCTTCTTGATTCGTGCACCTATGTCGCTCTTGGTCCCGCCGTCCGACGCTATTTGGCTGCCAAGATATTGGAAACTTTCGACCTTCTCCACTGCTTGCCCCGCTACCGTAAAGTTGGAAGGGTTGCCCGTGTTGATATCCAACGATTTGGTCTTGTTGACGTAGATGGTGAGACCCGCCGCAGAGGAGCGTTCGGCTAGGTCATTGAGCTTACTCTGCATATCAGAGCGCCGTTGTGCTAGTAGAGCAACATCATCAGCCAAATCGATATGGTGATAGGCTGCCAAAGCAGCCCACGGTTCGGTACACGGTCAATTGCACCTACCATGATCTCGTCGATAACGATGAGAAACAGTAGCGGTGATAGTATACATCCTTGTCTCACACCAGCGACTACCACAAGGGGGGCATGAAGTAGTTCGCCTCCTCGTGGTGTGCCCTGGAAACGCTAATTATCGAACCCAAGGGAGAGATATTGCGGCTAAACGAACTACCGCAGATTAGGGACGCTGGAACCCCATCCAGCTCGTCCCAGGAGGTTGAGAAACCCTGCACAAACCCTCGTTGTGCAAAGGCAGGAGTGACGCCGGGTTCTTAGAGTGCTTAGCACACGCAGCTGGTAAGCGGTCACATCTGTCCTAAGCTGCCCTGTTGGACAGTTGGCTGGCTATCACGTCTGCTCTAGAACTCAGGCGAACAACGAACAGCGAACAACAAGAGGAAGGCCCTGCACAGCTGCTCACTGTGCAGTAGCGAGTGTCACGTCGGACACAACACCTAGTGATGCGCCATAGCGCAAACGGCCCCCTCCCATGACGTAATGCTTTCGGGCGGTTCCGGGGAGGGCAAGGGCCTAGAGCACAGGGTAATGTTTAGTGGGTCGGGAGAGCTATTTCTCCCATCCCCACACCCTGAGTTACCTTCTCAGGAGTCTGGGAGCAGATTCCCCCTTGCATAAAAAAAAAAAAAAAAAAAAAACACCAGCGACTACCCGGATAGGGTCGGACAAGGCTCCGTTATGCAGAACTCTGCACGTGAAAGCCTCATACTGCGCTTCGATGAGGTTGACGATTTTATCCGGGACTCTCTTGCGTCTCAGGGCACCCCACAGATTCTCGTGATTGAGACGGTCGAAAGCTTTTTCGTAGTCAATGAATACCAAATAAAGGGACTCTTGGAATTCATTGACCTGCTCCAGGATGATGCGGAGCGTGACAATATGGTCCACACAAGATCTTCCGGCACGGAATCATGCCTGCTGCCGTCGGAGAGTCGCGTCGATCTTCTCCTGTATTCGATTCAGGATAACTTTGCACATAACTTTGAGAACAATACACAGTAACATGATGCCTCGCCAATTGTCGCACACAGTCAGATCCCCCTTCTTTGGGACCTTCACTAAGATTCCCTGCATCCAGTCGGCCGGAAAAGTCGCGGTGTCCCAGATATTACAGAATAGTTGATGCAACATTTGTGCGGATAGCATGGGGTCAGCTTTGAGCATCTCTGCTGATATGCGATCGACCCTTGGAGCTTTGTTGGATTTCATGCTTCGGATAGCTGCTTCAATCTCCTGCAGTGATGGGGCCTCGGAATTGACGCGAGTGATGCGCCGCACCCTAGGCGGATCATGCCGAGATGTTGGTTGGCCGTCGAAACTTGAAGAAGTTGTTCGAAGTGCTCAAACCAGCGTTTCAGCTGGTCAGTGGGGTCGGTAAGCAATTGTCCAGTCGTGTCCTTCACTGGCATCCTCGAGTTCATCCTTGCTCCACTCAGGCGTCGTGAGATATCATAGAGGAGGCGTATATCGCCAGTGTTTGCGGCTTTCTCCCCTTCGTCGGCCAGGGAGTTCACCCCCGCTCGCTTGTGCCCGTTGACGGGCTTCGTTCTTGGCTCCTCTGATTCTCGCCCGCTCTATCGCGGCTTTTGCTTCTCTACGCTTCTCAATCTTCCGCCAGGTTTCATCTATGATCCACTCTTTCCTCTGGGTGCGCAGCTCACCCAAGTTGTTCTCGCTTGTTTCTATAAAGGCATTCTTGATGGCCGTCCATTGTTCTTCTACGCTGCCACCTTCTGGAACGTCCGCAGCTCGAGTCTCAAGTTCTTCAACAAAAGACCTTTTTACCGCTGGATCTTCAAGTCGGCATGTGTTGAACCGCCGTCCGAGTCTCTCCTCCCGTCGCTGGATCCGCGCCATGCGTAGGCGGATTTCACCGATTAGAAGGTGATGGTCAGACGCGATGTCGGTGCTGCGTTTATTCCGAACATCAAGAAGGCTCCGTCTCCATTTTCGGCTGATGCAGATGTGGTCGATCTGATTTTCGGTATGTCCATCACGGGAAACCCACGTGACTTTGTGCACTGGCCGATGGGGGAAGAGCGAGCCCCCGATCACCATGTCGTTATTGCCACAAAATTCTGCAAACAGCTCACCGTTCTCGCTCATTTCGCCGAGACCATGGCGTCCCATGACACGCTCATAATCCGTGTTGTCGGAGCCGATCTTCGCATTGAAGTCGCCAGTGTATATCTTGATGTCACCCTTTGGAATCTTATCCACGACGGCATTCAGTTGACTGTAAAAATTCTACTTGTCCTGTAGCTCGGCAGCATCGGTTGGCGCATAACATTGGATTATGGTAAGGTTACGAACCCGTGTTCTAAATCTGGCAACGATTATCCTCTCATTAACAGGCTCCCACTTGATGAGCGCAGCACTTGCCTGGACGCTAAGTAGGAGACCAACTCCACGATGGCGGGGAGCATTTTCACCTCGAATACCAGAGTATAGTAGTACCTGTCCCGACGGCAGTTTGTGTTCTCCAAAGTTTGGCCAACGAACTTCACTCAGTCCCAGGAATACCTTCATGCGTCGCGCCTCGTTGGCGAGTTGTGCCAGTTTACCCTGCTGGGCTAACGTCAATACATTCCATGATCCAATTCGTGTCCGTTGTTTTGCGCTAGAAGTCGTTGCCGTTATTTCAGTTCGATGTCTTTCTCTGTTGGTTTCTGTAACAATTGTAAAGGTTTCAGAGACAGTAGGTGGTTGGCCTAAGGTCTCCTATCCGCCGTGATGGGGCTGCCATCTTAGGTGTAGCTTCCGGAGAAGAGCATTTCTTATTCAGCCGCTGGATGCCAGTCAGACGCTGTTTGAGCCGCACCTCCATGGTGTACAGACGCTCGGGTTGGCGAAGCATTTCCTCTATCACCGTACTCTAACGGAACTATCAATTCTATACTTTCATCTCCTCATTTATCGTATAAAAATTACCACTTTAGTCTGTTATTTGAAAATAGCATCTTCAACTATGTAAATCGTTGACTTCACGCAGAAGTAATACTAAACATTGGACTATATGTTAAATGTAAAGAAATTCCTCCAAACAATTTTCGCTTTTTTATTATCTACTGAATAAACCAAACAATCGTAACACAAACTAGGGTAAATTATGGCTTCGGCACCCATTGACTGTTTTCGGCAACCGAAATTGAAAAGTTAATTTCACTGTATTTTCCCATCAAAACTCTTCGCTGAATGTATTAAGCCGATTCCTTACCTTTCCAGCTTCAATCTGATTACATTTTTACGACTGTGCAATCCTGTTCTGCCATATTTTTCTTTAAATGAAATATACACACTACAAAATACGGCTGATTTCGAGTTGCCGATAATAGAACAGCTGGTTAACACGCAGTTCAAATGGAAAGGGTGCCGAAGAAAAAGAGACTGCCGACAATAGTCACACTCACCTGAGAAGTTTGGAGCGTTGTAAAAACATGTTCAACCCGTTTTGATCAATTCTGTCGATTGGAATTGGTAGAACAGCAAGCAGCAGATAAATGTCAACAAACAAACCTGTCATGTATGTTTGTGACGCTGAGAAATCGCTTAGATTGACGAGAATACGTAAATTCCCCTATATCAAAATTATATGCGATACCTAGTCTTGTAAGCAGTCACGGTAGTCGACACATTATCTGTGATAATCGACTGCCTTTGCCTCCGACACTTGCAAAACAAACTATCATAGTACAGTACCAAACTAAAATGTCATATGCCATACGACACTGTCGTCGAAAACCGCTAAGAATGTATGTATTTTAGTTTTTCTCATAATAAGAGCTGCTGATATTGTGCTTGTGTGAATTCTGAAAATGGCAAGCAACAATGTCCTTGTAATAACATTTCGTATCAGAAATGGTTTAATTTACACCAAATTGTGGAATTAGAACAAAATCACACATGCCATATGATAATTATTTGATAATTTTCTTTTTGCTCGAATATTATTCTACCGGTTGTGTTGTGTGAGAGAGATGACAGTAGAGCATGAGTGTACGAATACAAACAGACTGTCGTGCACGACAACGAAGCAAGTGTAGTAAAAAACGTCAACTGTTTCAACCCCTTGCGATACCAAGGGAAATGCCCTAAGCTACAATATAGAACCAATGTTTCTAATTCGGAAAAAGGTAGTGATGGATATAATGAAATCATTATATTCTACTATCAAAGTTACCCGCATTGTCAAAGATACCCCGTTTTCAGTAGGGTTGACTACCCCATTTCCGGCCTATTAAGCACAACCCGCACTTAGTCTTTCTTAATCTAGCGCAGTTTAGCACCAAACGGAATGTTATTATTACTGATGGCTTCCAAATTTATTTACCTTTCCGTACGTACCGTAAGATTTGATAAAGAGAAACCAATCATTGAGATATTGTCAAAAGTTTAACACTGAAACGCCACATAATTCACTTCGGCCTATCGGATGAAGATAAAAATTGATTCGGTCGGAGCGCTTCTTTTGTTTTTGGGAATAATGGGTGCAAACCTTCATATCACGCGTTCTCATAGACTTCGTTCCGTAGCTTATTAACTAAAGTATCGTACCAAACGTATAATTGACTTGTTAACTCTGAAATCATGGATTTATTTGAAGTTTTCTGCTCGATAGGCCCAAAATGGGCGATTAGGCCGAAGTAGTTCTCTACCCTACCTATCTTTAAGCCTTTTGATGCAACTTTTAAGCCCCTCCTATTAAAAGAACCATGCCAAAAAAAAAAATCTTGTCGAATTATCTTAATAGAAGGGGTTTAAAATTTGCATCAAAAAGCATAAACGTAGGTACCATCCAGTATGCTCAGTTTCTGTGATTGATGTGTTTTCCGTAATACATTTTTCATTTCCGCACCTCTATCATCTCCAAGAACATCGAGTTAAAAAATCCACAGCATTGCTCTAAACTGGCTTCCAAGCTTCCAACCCATCGGTCCTTTTTAGGACCACAAATGACTGATAAAAGAGTTAACTAAAGAGTTCAAGAAAGAGCTTTTATTCAAGACATATCGTCCAGGACACCGACAGAGCACCTTAAAAACAGAACTCTCAAATTGCTTCAGAATTTCAACCTATCGAACTTTTTCACTGATAACGAGTTAAGAAATAAATTTAATATTTCCTATACTTTTGCTGCGACAACCAAACTACCTTTCGTAATCCTGCGTCACATGTACGGTCGTGTTTTGGATACAACCTCTTACTTTTTTGGGATTCTTTTCGGTCATGACCAACGTACCTAACTGAAATTCACTTTCTGATAGAACTTACTAGTGTTTTAAATAAAAATTAATATTATTTACAAATTTACAATTTCACCGTCGGTAAAATGAAATTTTTGTAAATAATATTATTTTTTATTTAAATAACTGGTAAGTTCTATCAGCAAGTGAATTTCAGTTAGGTACGTTGGTCATGACCGATCAGAAAGTGTCCAAGGGATATCTTATGATGAAGTTTTCCAAACAGCACCATGCGTCTCCATAATTATTACAGATTTTTATCGATTTTGTTCGTAATTAGTATATTTTTAAGGGATCAAAATAAAAAAAAAACGGGTTTGGCCTTCAAATGGGCTAGAATGCACTTAAGTATAATGTTTTTATATGAAATCGGGCTTAAAATAACTGAGAGATCCAATTCCGTGGTCAGAATTCATATATAAACCGGTTTCAAAAGTTTAGTACAAGCATTTCAGTGAAAATGAGAGGTACGTTAAAAATAAATTACAGATTCGTAAAGTACGCATTTGGTAATACATCACTGATCGCGCACGGATAGGACCCAATTTGTACGTTGTGTGATAGTTCAAAATAATGATTTACGATCGATTTACTGACCGTCCTGCCATGGCGGAGGTAAAAGTACTACAGACGTTTATTTACTATAACATAACAAGAACAGTACATAATAAGCTATAACAATTAAAAGGGGAAAAGTGGTGACATCTATGGGTAGGCACAGTATCTATTTTATGTTAAGGGTAGAGGCAGTAGTAGTCGCCTGCACGAACAATCACATTTCCGTGGAAATCTGGTCGATCCACGCGGTCTTTGCTCGAATCGTATGTCTATCCAGCGGGACACGGGTTTTCTGGGAAGCTTTGAGATACGTTCAAAACCTTTGAAGGTACGCTATTGGTACATTCCAAAATACGTATCAACTTTGAAATTCATTAAGTTTGTCCCGCTAAATAGATTGACGTGCAAGTGCACAGATATTGTTTTACACATTTTTTTTGTTCACTTAGTTTATAAAAATAAATCAGTAATTTGTACTTTAACACGTGGTGATTTTTGAGGAACATTAACAAATCCACCCATAAAATCATAACAGTCCCATATGGATGTTTATTAGAAATGAGTTATCCATTAGAAATGGATTGTAAACTACCTGTATTTTAAACTGTGCACTAAAAGTCACATGTTGATTTCTGAAAATAACGGATAGATACATTTTCAACAGCGTTTTTCTCTGCTTGCAGAGATGGAACTGATATGCTTTTATGGGCAACCATTCTTCGTTGCACACAGCGTAAATATTTACGATGTTTTGACAAAACTCAGGTAATCATGACAGATCCTGACCCAGTAGGTCTCTTTTTCTCATGCGCGTTGTTTTCAAAGATCAAAATGTCATGATTACTTGAGATTTGTCAATCTTGTAAATATTTACACGTCGTGTATTGAAGAATTGTCCATAAGTATTGAAAATTGATTAACAAGATTAATAGTACTATTACTATTACAAAGATTAATAGTACTATTACTATTACTTACTATTACTATTAGGGGTGATAATTAACTTACCAAAGCTGTCGTTTCAACCACCGCCGGGCGTTGCACTTCCAGTCCAATCAAATCCGCCTGCCATTGGGTAAGCAACGAGTTTGCCGTCATTCCACCATCAACTTTCAACTTGATTAACGGAAATCCGCAATCTTTGTTCATTGCATCCAGAATGTCTCGCACCTGGAAGCAGACAGCCTCTAAGCTTGCTCGTACAATATGCCCACGTTGGGTATCCTCTGTAATACCGCAGATCACGCCTCGTGCTTCTTGGTTCCAATAAGGGGCATACAGACCGCTGAAGGCCGGTACAAAGTACACATCACCATTGTTCTCAACCGACTTTGCCACCTCTTCCGATTCTTTGGCACTATTGATAATGTTAATATTGTCCCGTAGCCACCCTAGAGCGGCGCCCGCTATGGCAACAGACCCCTCCAAGGCATATACCGGCTGAGCTTCCGGACCCATTTGATAGGCAACGGTTGTGATCAAACCGTGGTTGGAATCAATCTGAGCATTTCCGGTGTTATACAGCAGAAAGCATCCCGTGCCGTACGTGGCTTTCGCCTTACCCCTTGTAAGACATTGCTGACCAACCAGAGCAGCTTGTTGATCTCCTAAACAGCCGCTTAGCGGAACGTTTTCCAGTGCTTTTAGACAAATGGTACCATATACTTCTGAGCTGGAGCGTATCTCTGGAAGAATATCGAATGGAATGTCGAAAAATTTGCCCAAGGTTTTATCGTAACGCAACGTTTCGATATTCATCAGCATGGTACGGGAAGCATTCGTTACGTCCGTGATATGAGCGCCTCCGTCCACACCGCCGGTTAGATTCCAGATCAGCCATGTATCTACCGTACCGAATAGGCAGTTACCGTTTTTGATGGCCGTTTTTACCTGTGCATGAAATGAGATACTTAGGTTCCGGTCGGTAATATTAATGTTTTGGAAATTATGGATATAGGGTTAATTGCATAAACAGGCTCACTGTTTGATTTATATTATCTTCTGCTTTCGTATTATCTTTCTATACTTTTTTAGTTCATATTTTGATAAAAATTACCGTAAAGCACCATAATTCTGCGCAGCGTCTGATTACGCGCTTTTAGCAAAAAAAAAATCTGTAGTGCCAGTTTCTAAATGTATGGTAGGTAAGGTGGAGCAAGATGGATCGTCTACTTGATTTATTTATATTTTTGATTGTAAACATCAATAGACTCAATGCTGTTTTGAAAAACCAAACCATTATTGAGGTTCCATTAAACAAATAAATTAATAAATGTATTGCCGCCCCTCTTTACCCCACATTTTGCCTATATACAAGTGAATAATACACCTATCCACATTCTGAACTTAAATTGAATTTAAATTGCGCAGGATTAGGCCTTAGGCGCGCATAATTATGGCACTTTACGGTACAAAACTAATAAGGACCGACAGAATCTCAGGAATTTCATGAACAGAGAGGCTAAACTCTTCTGTTAAGCTTAAGCAATAGCAATACTTAAATTCAATGGGTACCTATCGAATAGAAGGAGATAGTCAAATCTCCTTCAGCCAAGGCAAGGCAATTATAAATCTACGATAAGATAAAAAAAAAAGCTCTTTGATTTTCGACCTCCGTCCCAACGTCGGCTAATTATAAAAATGCAATTCACCTTTGGTACATTATCGATCAACCAGCGAAGCTTCACGGCCGAAAAGTATGGCGACAACGGCAATCCACACAGCGGTTTTAAATAATTCTTGTTCCTCGTCTTATTGGGAACGGTCTCCAGGAGTTGATCAACGGTGGTGGAAGTTCGCATATCCAACCACACAATAGCATTGTACAACGGCTCTCCCGTAGTCTTGTCCCATACGATTGTCGTTTCCCGTTGATTGGTGACTCCGACTGCCACGATGTCCTGTGGATTGCCACCGAGTTCTTGCAGCTTTTCGATTGTCTTCTCGATACATTCCTCTACTACGGAAAGAATTTCCTTCGGATCTTGCTCTACCCAGCCTTCCTGGGGATACATTTGGCGCAACTCCTTCTGATGGTAGCACACAATGTCACTAGTTTCCGCCCGAAATAGAATGAACCGTGCCGAACTGGTTCCCTCGTCGATAGACCCAACCAAATCGCCAAACTTTTTGCTCTGAGCCATCTTGGGATACTACCTCTTTTGATTGACCTGATTGTAAAAACAAAATATTTTCAAAATGCGACTGCTTTCTTCAAACACCGAATGACCGATGGACCTACCTGCCGCTTGCGGTCGATTTGACGAAGCGATGACGACAATCCGACAAAGACCGCCTTATCTAATCTGCTTCCCTTGCTCTTGAACGCTGTGCTGTTTTCCGATTTCTAATTACTGGGATGCCACTGTACGTTCTCTTGCCTGCCTAATGCTTATTGTGGTGAAGAACTATTGCTGATAAAAAAAATGGATGATAAATGATAAATGCGTCTCCCGCATATCCAAAACATCCAAATCGATCGCTCTTTTCAACTTCTTGTGATAATGACAAGACTTCAAATACAAACGCACCTACATGCCTATATACAGCAATCAACGCCAACACAAAAGCACGTAACGAATGCATCCTGTGAACTGCAACTGTATAAGTATAGTACTTCGCCTTATGGGACCGATTTCCGTCCTAGGCGTCAAAAACAATGAACACAAACAGCTACATCCAACATTTATACAGCAAATTTGCTGATGTAAAACTATTTAAAACAAATTCTACGAGACTGTCGGAAGACAGATTTATATAGGAGGTCCTGTCCGATCCCATTTTTAAATTTATTTGCCAGTCAAATTGATTTTTGACGTAATCACCTTCCGATCAATTATTTTTCGATGTTATTTAAGTCACCCGATGTCTATGGAGATGCGCTTTGTCTTAAGTAACAGCGCAGATAAACCCGTGAAAAGCGAGGTGAAAAGTGTACGTGCGTTGTTCGCATTATTAAAGTGAATAAATCGAACTGTTTGTTGCTAAGATGATTTTGGCTTGGTGACCCTAAAATAATGAATGGGCTGCACGTAAGGAGACGTGATTGATAATTCTCCCAAATATCCTAGTAAATACACTTTGACTTAAGTAACATTAGGGGCCACCAAACGACGTATAATAACTTTTGACTCAAAAACCAGTATTTTTAGCATGAAAGCTAGCGATCTGCTTTGTATGATTAAAACCCTCGTTAAGGGGAAGTTCACCGCTCCGAAAAATATAATATATAAGTCGAGTATTAGTACAACCCACTGACACTGAAGAAGTTTGCACATTGTAGACGAAATACGCGTATCTGTCAAGGATAAGCAAATAAAGTAGTGGAATTAAATGGAAAATACTAATCCTTCTATCTCTCATTATACAGGTATTCCACTAAGACGCCCACATTTATCAGGATAATAATAACGTTTTGATTTTTCTAAAAATATTGGAAAAAGGTATCTTTTGATATATAATAAAAAACACATTTTCTAATTTTTCAAATAATATTCCCGTGCAAAAACTATAAAATACTCCATAAGCAACTATAGGAACCCATTGACAGACATACAAAGCAGTACCGTTGTACCATAGAGGTAACTCTAACACCACTGGGTCCCGAAGAAAATCATTATTATTTTTGGCTCACTCAGTACCAGAACAACGGTCCCAAGCAGTCCCAAGCTATTTCACTCACCCCTGCATGTTCTGCATGAATCCACACACCCCTGATGTTATCTGTCAAACTTTCATAGCGAATCAAAACAAACATAGTGTAGTAATAGAATTTCAACTAGAATAGGGTACATTAATCCTTTGCTTGGGACCAATAGGCTACTAAAGTGGTGAGCCAATTTAAAATCGTTAGTTTCGTATTGATTGTTATAACTCTGTAGTCTGAACAAGGCATATGTCAGTACAAGGTATAACACTTCTAACCTACCGCAACTATAGGAGCGGCTACCCTACCAGTTGTGTATGTAGTTGTATACACGGTAACTGCAAAATACCCAATAATGACTAAAAAAGACTAGATATTGACTACAAAATAAGCATTTTCGAGGGAGACTGGGACACCCATTAGATATGTAAATATATTACCCATTTATAGTCATTGTTTCTAATAAATGAATACTAGCTACTTACTACAGTTAATGGATAGTCCCAGTTTCCATCGAAAATGCTTGCTTTGCAGTCATTATTGGGTATTTTGCGGTTACTGTGTAGGTAGGTTAATATTATCATTCGTCACAGCATCAGGTCACAGCAACAATCAACTTGTCGGTATATAGGGGAACTAGGGGCAAGAAGGTCACCCTAACGATAGCGCGTTTTAATATGCGATTCCGTGAATATTTATAGGAGAGCCACTCTTATGGGGCAAAAAGACAATATGTCTAAAATTATGTGAAAATGATAAATATGTTCATTTCTAAACAACAAATTACTATTCTTAAGTATGACAGCAACTGCTTGTATTGTTTCTTCCACTAAAATATTGGTATTTTTTTTTATCAAAAATATATAAAATAAACCATGTGCGTCAAAGAATTCAAATGGAAACTATTTTTGATACTATTTTATACAGTTTGAAAACAATGCATATTGGAAATATAAATGCCCAATTGTGCTAATTTCTGAACAGTTTTGTACAATTTAATACATAAATGTAGGGGTGGCACTCTTGCCCCGTATAAAGTTTATTTTTAGGAATATAATTTTTGATTAATTAAAGAAAATATTTAATAATTTATTGTTACTAATGTTTCAATCAAGAATCAACCATCAATAGTGACGTCTAAATGCAGAAATTGTGAAAAAAATAAAATAGAAATGTCGAAAACCTTAATTTATGATGCCTTTTTCTTATAAAAAACTAGCTTTTCAATGCATCAACACAAAATGATTTTTCGCATTTTTTTTCGACTTCTATTCGGACAGAACTTTTTAGAATGTTTCATAGAAATACCGTGCATAGGTTCATCGTGGGATAGGATTGAAATGATTTCATTTTCAAAATATATTGAGGATGGCACTCTTGCCTCGGGTGACCTTCTTGCCCCTGTTCCCCTATGGCATTCGCTGTAACTTCATAGTGCGTGTGTTGGTTGATAAAGATCGTTCCGAACATTCTGCTCCATTCTATAATCTCAGTTGGTAGCTGATACGGAAGCTATTCGGAAATTGTTCTACAATGGTGCGGGCTTGGTTTATGGACAACGAAACCACCGATCAGCGGTTGGAACATCACCTAAATCCCCCGGAATACTTGACACTAGAAGAGCTCTTCAAAAGCACTGGAGTTGAGTACTTTAAGGTAAGCAATCGTTATATTCATAGGCGATGAATTCTAATGTCTGGTTCACGCAAACGTAATTCTCTAGATTAATGTGCCGACCTATGACTCCGATGGAGTATTGGAAAAGATTCGCAAGGCCCGAGGCTACAGTTATGAGGATGAGATTACCTGTTCCAAAGAATGTCTACCGGATTACGAAAACAAACTAAAAAACTTCTTTACCGAGCACCTGCATACGGACGAAGAGATCCGTTTCGTTATTGATGGTTCGGGATACTTCGACGTTCGCAAGTAGGTTACTCGTGAGGTAGGTGATGACATTAGTAGAGATAATTTCTTTCTTACTGTTCCAGTGGTAAAGATGACCTTTGGATTCGAGTTGAAGTTGTTGCTGGTGATATGATTGTTATCCCAGCGGGTATTTATCATAGGTTCACGTTGGATGTTAAGGTAGCGTTGTAATGTGAATACAATTTTTAGATTTGCTACATTATTTCCTGTATTTGTTTTAGAACTACATTCGGGCCAAGCGTTACTTTGTTGGAGAACCGGTTTGGTTACCATATAATCGCCCATGTGACGATATGCAATGCCGCAAGGATTACCTGCGCAAACTGGAAGTTGGTTTTGCTGCATAACGTAACGTAAATGTGTTAAGGCTACCAAATTTTGTAGAAGCAGATATACTGCCCATAAAAGCATAACAGTCCCATATGGATTTTGTTGTGAGTTCCATTAGAATCGATTGTAAATTACCGTCATTTTACTTGTGCACTAAAAGTTACATATTTTGTTCAGAAAATAACTTGAAAAAATTCAAAACTAGGTTTTCCAATCCATAAGACCATTTGGAGACATACATTTTCAACAGTGTTTTTCTCGGCTTACTGTTTTTCCTTATGGGACAGATATGCTTGTATGGACAGTATACTACCTACCACTTATGTGTTGTTAATTATTTCAAAGTGCCTTTCCGAATAAATATCATGGGGCAGCCAGCTTGTAAACTGATTTATTTATTTTTTTTACCTAGGTAGTTCGTTTATTTACTAGGCATGCAATTGTTTCAAATAAAAAAGATTCAAAAGATTTTAAAGTTTACACACGGGGTTATATATGTGCGAGTAAAAAACAGAGCTATAGTATTTACAGGTATTTACTACAGATACTATAGATTCCATAGATAACCGGATGCACAAAAAGTTGTTTTGGCAACCGAAAAATAAATGTGATCCGTGTGGCATCCGTGAAAAAAATTCATGCCATCATAGAGCTCTTCGTTGTGCAGTTTTGTTTTGTTTCGTGCGTAAAAGTTCAAAATGAAGTGCAAAGCAAATCTTTGCAACAATTAATCGAGGAATGGTTTCCCAGGGTTTCCCTAATAAAAATACACTGGAGTCGCTTTTTACGCGGAGGATACGTGCCGCGTAAAAAAAAACTTCCGAGATTTTGATTTTTCCCATGCTTAAATATTTTTTTTATAAATCGGATGTTGATGCCATTCGTTACTATAGCCCATAAAGACATATTTAAAAAAAAATCTGTATTTACACCAAAAATTGTGATTTTTTTAAAGTATGCCATTCGATTACCTATAGTTTGAAACGGATAATGTGATTGGAATCAACTCGATAGGTCGTATCATTGTCGAGAAATCGTTAAAAACGTACCGCGTAAATTGCGACTCAGCGGCACTAACCGCGTAAAAAAAAACCGTGTACAAAAAAAACCGCGTAAAAAGCGACTCCAGTGTAACCATAAGAGAGAGCTTAACGACGTGTACGGAGTATAATCAACATATAATCCAAACCATTTGTGGGATAGTTTACGGTTTACCCATTCGAGATACAATTCGTTTATGGTATTTGTTTATTAAGGTTGCTTTTTCTTTCCTTCTTCCGTTGTCCGCGAAATAAATCGGAATGTGGAGTGTGGAAAGCGTTTTGTGCTCATAATATTACAATACTTCTCCCTCAAACAACACCATGATGACGTCATGCTCGTTTGGCTACACTAACTGACAGTTCGTTTGGCTACATTATACCTAAGAGAAGAGGTGACAATACGGGGGCGAAAATGAACCACTTTTCTGTTAACCCTTAAATGCATGATTTTTTATTTTGCGGTGAAAAAAATTCTAGTTATAGAAATTGGGCTTAATATTACTGAACAAGTGATACAAAACTTTTAAAATGTGATTTGATACTTTATTTTTGCAAAATCAAGGTATGTTGCCAAATGGCAACAATATGCGTTAGACGATTAAATAATGTTCTCACTGCCTAACGTCAAACGCATATTGTTGCCATTTGGCAACACACTATCTTTATGTATGAAATGTGTGAAAACAGTTTCTTTTGTTAGTGTGACAAAGTGTAACTTTACATTTGGTACATTGTATGCAAGAAAACCCTTTACATCCTGGCAATTTACATCTTGTTTTCTTATCACATCGTTGTTCATAGTGATCACTTCCATCGGTACGAACGTCCTGCGAAGGAACGTAACTCATCGGACCGCGAAATTTTTTTGTCCTTAAATTTTTTTCTATATTATTTGTTGGTCTGCCTCTTTTATTGGCACTACTTGTGCCATATCTACACAATGAATCAGCCAGGTCTGTTCTGAAGTCAGCCAAATTCAGCAGTTTTGGCTCTTTGTCTTCGTTAGATTTTTTGTATAGCACCCACGAATTGATTACAGTCATATCCAACATATGGTAAAAAAGTCGAATGTACCATTTTCTACTTTTGACTCTAATCTTGTACCTGCCAAGAAAACTGTCCATGAGATCCACCCCACCCATATGAGCGTTATACTCTTTGATGATTTTCGGACAAACAATTGTGATCTGCTTTTTATCCTTCTTATCAAATCTTCTGATGGTATCCACAGGTTCAGCACCAACATACGTGGAAGCTAGTGTCACGAGTTTGCTATCTTTCCAACATGTTACACTAATAGCCACACCTTCATAGTCGGTAAGTTGTTCTTCATAAGTTCCACGTGTTACAGACGGCTTCATGAAATCTTTTTGTGTAGGAAGATTGCAATGTTTGCCTAGCCGATTTCTTTGAATGGTTCCCAATGCATGAATACCTTGAGTAGACAAATAATGAAGCAATGGTAGGGTTGTGTAATAATTGTCGAAGTACAGTATATGGTTTACATTCCTGGGAAGTGGTCGACATAAACGAACTACTGTTTTTCCCACTAATCCGAGATCAGGCTCCTCCGAAAATCTTACATGCTCTTTTTTTCCGCTATATATTTCAAACCTGTAAGCGTACACACTTAATCTAGCTCGGCAAAATCTCCAACAGCCGATTACTTCGGCATTTACTTTTGCTGATATCACTGCAAAATATATGTTTGTTAGCTGATATCTCAGCAAAATGTTATTTGTTAGCTGAGTCTCGGCAATTGTTTGACTGAATGTCAGCAAAATAAATTGCAGAATTATTCGGCTGTTGGAATCTCGGCGAAAAATTTTAAGTGTGTAGCCACTCAAGGAGCATAACACATACAGCTTAAAGCCCCACTTATGAGGCTTGTTTGGCAAGTATTGCTTCATGAAGTGGCCAACTTTGGTAGCACACATTTGCTCATCAAGAGACAATCTTTGCTCGAAAGGCGTGACGGAAGCAAAAGTATTGTTCATATAATCTATTATAGGTCTAATTTTGTGGAGGCGGTCATGAATGGGATGACCAACAGGTTTGTGGAGATCATTATCATTGAAATGAATTACGGAACGAATTCTTTCGAACCGATTTAGGGTCATTGACTCCATTATCGTTGCAAAACCATATTTTGACCAATAAGATCTCACATTCGGGTAATGGTAAACAGACATGAAGATAAGAATACCAAAAAACTTTCGAATTTCCGATAACGTGACCGGTTGGCAGTGTGAAATTCCCCTTTGAACAATATACAAATTCGTCTCCTCCACTATTTTTACCAAAATATCATCCGTCATAAACAGTGAGAAGAATTGAAACGGTGTCTGCATTGCTGTTGTACTTTCGTAGGGTTTGACGTTTCCGGTAAATTTTACCCGATCATCGTCATAAATCAGTTTATCCTTTTTCCATATCCAGTCACGGGTTCCTGGCTTATTGACTACTGCTGGTCGTTCAGGATTGACGTTCGGTGAATCGTTTTTTCCCGGATTCCGGAAAAATCTGTTAGGTTCTTCATCGTCCGAGTCAGATGTTCCCTCCAAATCACGTATCAAGTCATCACTGTGAAGGTAATAATCAAATTCGTTGACATCCGTGAAATCTGCCTCATCCTCCGATATGAAACCATCCTGCAGTGACGCTAGATATGTTTCGATATCCTTTTCTCTGAATATTCTATTATTCATTCTGAAAAAAATATGTACTAAGTTTATTTTGCATGCGAATTTTTGCCATACACAACACATAAATAGAAGTGGTATACGCATAGTGTTGCCGTTTGGCAACATATAAGTTTTGCTGAATATTGTAAAGTACGGATAGTAAAATAGCGTTCTGAAATAACACGTCAGTTACTTACACGTATTGCAACACAGTCACGATTTTTTTCAGCAAATAATTATACGTATTATGCACAAAAACCCAATAAATATTCTCAATGAATCGATGCGACGGAAAACTTCCGGCAAATGAATGGAAAATGCATGATATGTCAAAATTAACCGTTACCTGTGTAACTTCATCCTACCGTAGTTGTCGGCTAATGTATAAACTTTCGTTGTAATGTAAAAACGATCAAAAAAAAAGTTACTTTATCATGTTTATTGACAAAAGTAGGTATGTTGCCAAACGGCAACACTATGCATTTAAGGGTTAAACGTGATCCAGCTCCTGATTGGTCGATGTCATGTGCGTAAGATAGAGATAGAGATAGATAAAGACTAAGAGAAGAGGTGACAATACGGGAACCATGAATGAACCACTTTTCTGTCAAACGTGAACCAGCTCGTGATTGGCTGATTTGATGTGCGTAAGATAGAGATAGACATAGATAAAGATAGAGATAGAGATATAAATTAAAGAGTATTGTCACCTTTTCCTCTTAGGATAAAGATAGAGATAGAAATAAAAGAGGAAGAAGCCAATTGTCACCTCTTCCCCGAATAGAAATTTACATTAGCCCAACGTTTGATTTTGATGTCTACATCAGCATCGAAATCAAATGTATGCCTGATGTCAAACATTAGAAAACATTATGATTTAGTTGTATTTAAGCAACGTAACATGGTGTATACATCAGAAATTTTGGAACAAAATTTTGCCATTCTAATGTCGGTCTGACGTCAAAAATTTCAATCTATTGACATTAGAACCAAACGTTTTTGGATGTTTTCAGATGTAAAAAACGTTAGAACTAAACGTTGTTCGGATGTTTTGATATGTAAATGTTTTCAGATGTTTTTTAATGTAGATGTTTCCTGATGTTAGAATCAAACGTTTTTCGGTTGTTTTCGGATGTAAAAAACGTTAGAACTAAACGTTGTTGGTATGTTTTTATATGTAAATGTATTCTGATGTTTTCTAACGTAGATGTTTCCTGATGCTAGAACCAAACGTTTTTTGGATGTTTTCGGATGTACACAACGTTAGAACTAAACGTGGTTCTGATGTTTTCAATTGTACTTCGTGTTTGTTGTTCTCTGATGTTTTCAGATGTACAAAACGTTTGAAATAAACGTTGTTTGAATGTTTTCAAATGTATAAACATCTACATTTGAAAACATTCAAACAACGTTTCCTTTAAACGTTTTGTACATCTGAAAACATCAGAGAACATGTTTTTAGATATACAGAACACTAGAATCTTACTTTTCAAATGCTTTCAATTATATTTACAACACATTAGAATTAGAAACATGATCGTGTAAACACTACACACCATAATTGTTAGATAACATCATAAAAATGCGTACATAATAGTCAATGCTGAAGCTCCCGTTTCCCACCAGTCAGTTAACTGACCTTAGCTAACCTAATATCATTG